CTGAAGAGGTACAGATGAAGATGAACAACTTTATAAATGAAAATGAACCACTTTATAAAGAAAGAAATGTAATTGCATCTTCTCCCAAGTGAAGTTACTCATTTTCATTTATACCTTGAGAGCGAAGTGTTGCCTGACTGATATAGAAAAAAAAAATTATCAATAAAAAATTAAATGCACGTATTACAGGATACCAGCTACGATTGCATATCATATGTCAATTTGGATAACAGTATGTGGACCTTTTCTAACACCATTTAAAGGCCAGAAATGAACCCCTCTACTATGGTGCAGAGTATTATCCTTGATATCAACACAATACTGAAGTGACTCAAATGAGGTAACAGAAATAGAGAGATGCAAATATTCTCTTAAATATTTAAAGCTATTGAGAAAAAAAAGACTGTCATGTAGAATTCTGCTGGGTAATAATGCACCTTTATCAAAAAGAAGCAAATGAGTTATTGATATAATCAAAGACAGGAAAAGAGACAGACAGACAGACAGACAGACAGACAAAGAAAGAAAGAAAGAAAGGAAAACAAATGATATTGTAAAAATGAAAAAAATCAGATAAATCTTTTTATTTTGTACAACTACATTGACTCTTGTACTGTCAATCTGCAAGACAGGTCATAAAATTAATAGTGTAAAAAAATGGTTAAGAGAGAGAGAAAGAGAGAGAGAGAGAGAAAGAGAGAGAGAGAGAGAGAGAGAGAGAGAGAGAGAGGAGAGAGAGAGAGGAGAGAGAGAGGAGAGAAGAGAGAGAGAGAGAGAGAGAGAGAGAGAGAGAAAGACTTTTTTCCTTTCTGATAGTGAGTGACTAATTCATCTTTAGGTTCTCTTATATCTCTTCAGTGGCAAAATAAAACTAGAAAAAAAATCTGCTTACACCATTTCACATGACAATAGATATGTTTATAGAAGTACATTTTTTTTAATACTCAAGAAATGGAATTCACTTCTATTTACAGGTTACATTTTCAAAAAGGATTTTCCCCAGCCTTTTTCTTATTTCAGGTAAAGTTTACATATAGCTACTTACTCTATACTGCAGTGTTCCTTTCCTTACATTTCCTGGAGATCACTGCTCTACATATCTAAACTGATACAAAAAATACAGTTCATTAAAAATATCTCCACATTCACAAGACTCCCATCTAGTGCAAATCTACAACTTTTTCTTGATCTGGTGTATGATTTTTTTTTCCAAGGACATCTCAAGCATAAACTAAACTGCAGATAGGAAAACTCATTACACTTATTGCACAATATCAATGGTATTCTGCCAACTTTCCCTCACGCAAATGGCCTATTAGTTAACCGCTTCTTATGTTAACCTCTCGAGTTTGATGAAGCCCGTACTGCATCATCGCAGTAAACCAAGTCTCCTGATTTTTAACCATGCCAGTCTGGCAGGGAAACCTCTGCCATGATGCCAGGACTGGTTCAGAGGGGTTGCTGTTCAGAAAGACTTTTTTTTTTTTTTTTTATATCCTTAGAGAGTCTGTCTCCTCCATCAACACCCCCATGATACACTATGAACCTGATACTCCCTTTTCTGTATATTTGTGATGGAGATGTTCAAGAGGAGACAGTGGGCAAAAACTCTTATCACCAGCATTAGTGTTTCACATTATGATGCACACATTCTAAGTGTATGAAGCACATCAACTTAGCATCTATGAGAAACAATGCATTCGGCAATACATTCGGTATCCATTTGGCAAAATATTCTAAGTTAGGTGATAATGAGTGAGCTTCTATGGTTCATAAATAAATAAATAAAATATACTGCCACTTTGCACTAACAAAAACAAACTAATACGGTAATAATGTTGTATGCCGATAAGAGAACCGAAAAACTGACACTAAAATACACGATTTCGGAAGAAGCTGGATTCATGTGTGCTCATTTCTGACACCAATTGCCAATGACACAGTGTATTTTAAGTATGATCATGAATGTCACCTTGTTTTATGAATTTGAGTGCTTGGCATTCATCTATGCAAATCTGGTCAATTGTCTGGTAAGTGATTCATTTTAGATAGTGACCATATAAATATATATACATATATGCTGATATATATAGATACCTTAATTCATTAAGAAAGAAATAAAGAAAAAAAAAAAGTATTATTATACATAAATAATATACTATATATATATATATACACATATACGTATAATATATACAATATACGTATATATATATACATATATGTATACATATACACATATACATATATATAACACATATACATATATATATACAATGAATACAACAATACATATACATGATAATATAGAAAATACATATACATATAATATAATACACACACACATATAACACCTATACATATATTACAGTAAAAATTTACATATATACATATACCATATAACATATACGGATACAATATACATAAACATATACATAACATATATATATAATATATACATATATACATATGCAAATACATATTACATAAAACATATACAGGTTTAATACTATCTATTTATATATTTATATATCTAAATATATCAATATACAAATATACATGTGTGTGCGTGTGTTTTTTTGCATGTGTCTGAGTGGTTCATCATATATGAAAATGCAAATTTTGTTTTTCTGTTCAATTTGCATCCTACAAGCAGTTGATTTACCCTCTCAAAAAATCTCTCAAGTCTGCCTTCTGCCATCACATGACTGCGAACGGCTTTTATGTTGTGTTTTTCTGATCCTTCTTTTTCTCCCTTGCCACAAGATCCGTCCACGTTAGTCACCACAAGATGGCAGTACAATACTGCGTGAAGCCGAGGCTCAAGGCTGCAGAATTCCTCGCGCAAGTAGGAGTCCTGAAGAAGCTTGTATAATTGTAGTGCTGTTCAGGCTTCAGGAAATAAACGAAAAAAAACGAGGGTGATTCAGTTTTGACAGTGAGTGATGTGAGATGAGTGACGTGAGTCGAGGGAGTGAGTGAGTGATGTGAGTGAGGAGAAGAGAGAGAGAGTGTGTGTATGAGAGAGAGAGCCCGCATAACCAAAAATAAAAAAAATAAATCACCTTTTGTAATAGCTTCTGAGGAGATGTCTCAGAGATAAATGTCATGAGGTACACATTGAGAACTGGCCATCCAAGAGTATGGCAAACGAAGCGATCCATCATCCACCTGTCTGGGATCACATCGACCGAAGGTCCTGGTAAAGATTGGACAAATTAGCACAGAGCTATTTTAACCTTAAATAGGGGGCAAGATAAAATTAATTCTAAAGCTAGACTTTTAACAATGCAAGGAAAATACTCTCTTAAATCCATTACCATGATATTTCACATAAGAATAACCCTACGGCCTTTCAAATCTATGAATGGCATATACACAAATATCTTAGTTCCTTCACTCTAACCTTAATCTTCGAAGGCTCGCTTGAAAGCCGCTGGCAAAGAAATCCACCAAATGGACCTATGACGCTGCTGAACAATGACAGTGCAACTGAATGAAGCACAAATGGATTAGTGTGACTGTTTTCTTCATCCAAAGCTGCAAAAGAATTGCTTTCATAATAATGGTTCCTGGTAAGAAAAAAATACTTGTGAAAATTACTGTTTTATATTCCTGACAACAAGTCCTTTTATGAACAGGAGCACAAACCGCAGTAAGCCCCAAAAGAAACACTCACGCAATGAAATGAAACATGAAGCTGTGACCTTTCAAACCTTGTCAGGAAGTTCATCCTCAGACGAACAAATACTGGAAAAAAGGTTATTGGCTTGTCTGATGTGGAACTGTGACGAGAAACGCCAACTTGCGAAATTGACTTAATTTCTTAATGTGTTTCCTTTTTCTTATCGTTACAAAAAACATACAAAAACGATCACACACATGGCTGACACAGCCTGTTTACCCTTTTGCAATTTTTATCTAATAGTGATGATAAAAATAGACTATGAAAATATTCAAGCACCTCTAAACTAAACAAATACTGAGTTTAATGATAAAAAGAACTATATATACAAATTTATAAACAGGATTATTTTGTTACGAAAAATTATACATAAGTTGTTTGAAAAAAAAAAAAAAAAAAAAAATCGTATGTTGCCAAAAAGTTTATGATACCAAGCACATCTGATTTAAACTGGCATGGTGATAAATATCTATGTAAAAGGAAGATTCACTGGCTCTGTCAGGCTGAAACATTTCCTTTGAACTGTTATCAAAGATAATTTCTTGACATACCAGGGCTGAAAAATTGGCCATTGTTTCTGGCAAAGCGGTATCTGTGAGGTCGGGAAGAGAGGCGACGGGTCACAATCATATTTGAAACTATCTCGGCCTCACGTATTCAACGGGGCAAACAAAGAAGGGGTACTGGCAGGAGCATGTATCGACAGCTGTAAGAAAAAAATACAAATCATGCATTTAAAAAAAAAAATAGATAAATATTATCCAATTTGTTCATGACCATATATTTTGGATCTAAGACTTACTTTGAACCTTCAAAATATCACCCAAAAACAGGGGTCATCATATATGTATCTGAAGTTATAGCACATGGTGATGGCATCTTATAAAATTCACAATGGTAAATGAAGAACAGGTAAAATACACACATAATTCTTAGTGTGGACACTAAAAATTGTATTGGAAATCAGAATTACAATTATAAATTAATCAGGACCTGGTTTTTTTTTTTTTAGGGCAGTATTCACAGGAAAGGTCATAGAATTTTCAGGACCAATTTAAGACTGTACTAAAAAGGGTTCTTTAACTCCAAAAACCCATAGTAGAATTGGTCTCAAACCTTGTTTTAAAAGACATATACTTAAAAATTTCATTTCCAACTCGCTCTGTGCCCATGTAAGGTTAACATTTGACTAGTAATAATATTCACATTGTAAACAAACCCTTTAATAATGTATAATGAAATAAAATATCACCTGCAATGAATGTCAAGCATGTAATGGAATAAAATGATACCTACTTAACCCAACTGCCTCTACATGGCAAAGTTACATGCCATGCCCACTGTAATGCAAGTAACTTATTTAATTAAACATAGGACGGCTCTAGAAAGTGCTTAGTCACCAAGAGAGTCAGTATTAACTAGTATCTCACTTACTTACCCTCTTGACTTTTGGAAAGGGTCTTTTGCATTATTTCATTGTCTTAAATGTTACCAAGATTTTAATAACAATCTAATAATCATAACATCAGTAACAATAATTCAAAGAATGGGGAAATCAGGATTGGTAACTACTTGGTGGCTGAGCGCATGTGGAGCCATCTATATGTAACAAAATTCACAAAAAAATTCAGGGGGCAAACAAAGCCCATGTTGAATCCAGGGTGGTTGGGTTAATATCTTTTACATATTCATATAACGTGCTCTAATTGTATCAAATGCATCAGCTGAGGTGCCATTTGCATTTATTTCATGATTGCTGAATTAGGGAGGAAACATCCTAATAAATGTGACAAAAAGTAAAAAGTGTCAGGAAAGTTTTAGCATTACTGTTGAAAGAGTAGCTTCAAAAACCATAAACCCATTGCTGCGGGAGAAATGAACAAAAAATGGGGGAAAATAACTTACTCATTTTTTAATTTTGTGAAATATCTTTCATAGCAGGTTCTGCTAATCCAAATTTCACCTTTCCTTGCTTGGTGGGAAAAAAAAAAACGTATTATTACTAGTGATATAAATATAGATGGTGGTATTTTTAAAAACAGCAAATTAGGATAACGTAAAATATTTTTGTAAATCGATGAAAGGGTGAAGGCAAGACAGGCAGTACTCGTAATTGGCTCATTGGTGACTTAGTACAAGTGTAGCCATCTATGTGTAAAAACAATTGAACAAGTCGACTCACAGTGGGCATGGCATGTACATACATGCCATCCCCAACGGCAATGGGTTAAGTACAGTATAGTTGTAGGCATCTTATAAGGACAATCTAAAGATGGTCCTTGCACATGTGGGACACCTCCAGACTTGTCTTAACCCAATGCCGCCGGGGAATATGAATAAAAAAGGGGAAAATGCTGTGCTCATTTTCATATTTCTTGTGAAATGTCTCTGCAAATAGATTGGCTCT